CTCTTCCTTACATATTTTCAAATGCTCTTTGAACTGGTTACTGAATTGTACTATTTCCTATATTTTGTTATTTAATTAGTTAAACATAATCTTTTACATTTTATGAGAATAATAGGTATTAATATCTTAAAATATCATTATATATATATAAACACACATATACATACAGACTGTGTGTGTGTGTGTGTGTGTGTGTGTGTGTGTGTGTGTGTTTCAGCTTTTCAGGCAACTGGAATTGTGTGGAATGTGCGGAAAACAAAGGTAAGTAGTTGAACAATACTAAATGAACAAAGTATTTTTGAGGTCTCTGAACAGAGGAAGCAAGATAACATGATAACTAAAATAAAATTGACAAAAGTCTGGAACAAACCCTGGAGGATTTTGTGATTGCTTACATATTTTCTTTTATATATTTTAAATTTCTATTTATGAATTAATCTTGGGGGGCTTTATTAGAAAATATTCAAACAAAAATATACAAAATAATATAAAACTACTGTGTTTTTTATATTTTTCCAAGGTTTTAAATAAAAGGATATTACATGTAAGTTTGAAGTTCCCCTTCCTTTCCCTTATATTATAAAGAACCAACCAATATAAAACCTCAAATTCCAACTTCTGATGCTATTACTAGATAGGTATGTATCTGTAAGCAATATATATTGTTGATTGTACATGTTAGTTTTTTTTTTTAATTTTTTTCAGAAATGGGTCTCTATAATCCAGGCTGGAGTGCCGTGACACAGCCATAACACACTGCCACTTCTATCTCCTAGGCTTTAGCAATCCTCTCACCTCAGCTTCCTGAGTAGCTGGAATTACAGATATGCTCCCCCATGCTCAGCTATTTATATTTATTTATTTATTTTCAGCAATAGAGGCCTTGCTTTTTTGCTCATGTAGGTCTCAAACTCTTGGCTTTATGAGAACCTTCCACGTTGGCCTCCCAAAATACTGGGATTATATATATGAGCCATGAAAAGGGGTCAATGTTTCATTTTCATGTAAAAGCTAATATTATAATTTTGCAGTTTGATTTTACTTTTAATATGTTAAATGTTAGGTCTGTTAATATTGCTATTAATAGATCTTATTTTTATAATTTCATTTGCTTCATAGTATTTGATAGCATAAATAAATAACCAGGTATTCATATAATTTTTTTCCTGCTAGTCATCCAGGATATATATACATAGTTTTTAAGTTTAAAAATAATAAGACAGGGTTTTCTTGACTCTGCCTCTTGAGGACTTATGCACAAGATTCAAACTTTATAATAAGCTGCTCGAAAATTGATTTCAAAAGTTGGACACATGTTTAGTCTAATCAGCACTATAAGAGCATTATTGACTCTAAACATTACCATAGGCAATGCTAGGTAATGTCAAAATGTCAAAGCTTTCTATTTTGTTTTTTTAATTTTATATTAAACATGTAACTTCTAATGTGACATTTAACTTAAAATTTGAAGCAGACACATATATTAATCATTTATTGTAAATATTCTTATTTTGTCATATATGTGGAATTATTTCTTCCCAGCAGCTCAACATAGTATTCTGTGCCTATAATCCTAATACTCTAGGAGGACTAGGTGGGTGGATTCCTTGAGATCAGGAGTTTGGGACCAGCCTGGCCAACACGGAGAAACCTAATGTGTATTTAAAATACAAAAAATAAACCAGACGTGGTGGTGCACACCTGTAATTCCAGCTACTAAGGAGGCTGAAGCATGAGAATAGCCTGAAGCCGGGAGGCAAAGGTTGCAATAAGCTGAGATCATGCCATTGCATTCCAGCTTGGGCAACAGAGAGAGAGTCTGTCTAAAAAAAAAAAAAAATATATATATATATATATATATATATATATATATATATATATACGTGTGTGTGTGTGTGTGTGTGTGTGTGTAATAGACATAAATAATATACATGTATATAATAGACTTACATATGTGTGTGTGTGTGTATATATATATATATATATACACATATATATACATATATATATAGTTTTGTTTTTTTTTTTGAGACAGACTCTCTCTCTGTTGCCCAGGCTGGAGTGCAGTGGCACTATCTCAGCTTATTGCAAGCTTTGCCTCCCAGCTTCAGACTATTCGCATGCCTCAGCCTCCTCAGTAGCTGGAATTACAGGGGTGCACCACCACGTCTGGTTAAATTTTTGTGTATATATACACATATGTGTGTGTGTGTGTGTGTGTGTGTATACACACACATATACACACACATATATATTCTCTTATATAGTATCATAATAGTCAATTAATTAAATGAATATATGTATGTATAGTGTGTGTGTGTGTTTGTGTGTATACGTGTGTATATACATGTGTGTGTGTGGAGAGAGACAGAACATGCCCCAGTCACCTGCTAATTTGATAATTTGATGTCTTTTTGTAATAATTTCTGACATAACATATATCAATTTTCCATTTTTTTTTTCTGTTTCACAAATGTAAGGACTTGTGGGTTACTGGTTTGTCTAGTTCTTTAAAGCCAAAAAAAAAAAAAACAAAAAAAACAAATGTCTCTGGAATTTTGATTGAAATAGCATTGAATTTATTGAGTAACTGAATTGTTTTAAACATTGAGTCCTCACATCACTGCATATAATTATTTATTCATGCATGAATTTCGTATTTTACCAAGTGCCATTTTGTAAATATTTTGTTATATTCATATTTATGTAACATTTGAGACAATTATAATATTTTTATCATATTATATGTAATGTGTTTACTATTGATGTACAGAAATGCTACTCCTTCTGTTTTTATGTATTTTTTCATTCAATCATCTTGTGGAACTCAGTATGTTTTTAAATACTTTGATTCTTTACCTATTATTAATATTAGGAATCATCTGTAATTATCCAATATTCGATTCCAATAAAACTTGACATGTTTACTTTTTAACATACTTATAGCATATATGATATTATATGTCACACTTACCTCGCAGATGGTGAATATCAAAAAAAAGTTTATCTAACAAGCTGTTTAACTGGTTATGTTTTACTTTATTTGAAGTGTTATAAGTGAAAATCATTTCTTGTTTATATGTTTTATTTTATAATGAAAACAGAAATAAAAATATGAATCTGAGAAAGAAACATCTGTATAAAACAATTATTGTGGATAATATAATTTGGCAAACAAGGTTTAAGTGTCTAAATTTTTATCCATATGCATTTCTCTAAGGAAGCTCAATTTCCAGACAGGCAGATGTACTATATGATGGTATAACTTACCTAATCTAATATGACAAAAGAATACATTAATTTTAAAACAACTTCATTACATATATCATTGGCTACCTGCCATTTTTAAATGTTTCCCAATAATGGTCTGATAGAAATTCTGTTAACTAGCATGCATTAGATTGAATACACTCAAGTCCTGAAGACTTCTACCTGGTTTAAAATGTTATACTAATTCATGTATAATACCAATACATCTTCAATCATTGTATCTCATGCCTTTAACAATACTGGTTGAGGCATATTCTAAAGGAAAATCGTTAAACAGCATTTCGATTAGAAAATGTATGAATTTAATAAGTCAGAATGTTCAAAATATACATATTCCTGTCTTTGAAAGAAAAATAGATTTGTCTAATCTCTCTATCATCTATGTATATTTCTTCATATTATTTTCACATTATTTTAATGAACTGAAATGATTTTAAAACAATTTAAAGAATTTTAGATTAGCTGTTATTAAATATTTAAATAATTAAAAATATAAAATAAAATTAATTTTATAAGTTATATAACCTAAATATTATAAGCATTATCTAAATCTTAGATGTGACTTTATGTTGGGAGCTGAAACATAAAAGCAATGTAATGAAATACCTGAAAATTATCTTAGTATGATTTTTTACCACATTATTTGTGGTGGTACGATTTGACCAATCCATTAAAATTAAAAGGCTCTTGCAGAATGAATAGACAAACTGTGGTACACATTTGTGATGGAATAATTAATAGATGCAACAACACAAATGTAATCTCAAATGTATCCTGCTAAGTGAAAGATGGTAATCCGAAAACATCAAATATTTTATAGATCTACTTATACGACACTTTTGAAAAGAAAAAAACTATAGGTATTCAGAAGCAGGTCGAAATCATATACACTCCCACCAACAGTGTGAAAGTGTTCCTATTTCCCCACATCCTCTTCAACATCTGCTGTCTCCTGATTTTTTAGTGATAAACATTCTAACTGGCATGAGATGACATCTCAATGTGGTTTTGATTTGCATTTCTCTAATGACCAGTGATGATGAGCTTTTTTTCAAATATTTGTTGGCTGTGTAAATGTCTTCTTTTGAGAAGTGTCTGTTGTGAGGCAATTCCTCAAGGATCTAGAATCATTCTATTATAAAGGTACATTATATATACATATTATAATATATATATATGATTATATAATCTAATCATATATACATATTATAATCATTCTATTATAAAGATACACGCACACCTATGTTTATTGAGGCACTGTTCACAATACCAAAGTCTTGAAACCAACCCAAATGTCCATCAATGATAGACTGGATGAAGAAAATGTGGCACATATACACCATGGAATATTATGCAACCATAAAAAAGGATGAGTTCATGTCCTTTGTAGGGACAGAAATAAAGCTGGAAACCATCATTCTCAGCAAACAGACACAACAACAGAAAACCAAACACTGCATTTCTCACTCATAAGTGGGTGTTGAACAATGAGAACACATGGACACAAGGAGTGGAGCATCATACAATGGGGCCTGTTTGGGGATGGAGGGCTATGGGAGGGATAGAAGGGGGTCGGGGGCTAGGGGAGGATAGCATTAGGAGAAATACCTAACGTAAATGACAGGGTGATGATGCAGCAAACTATCATGGCACGTGTATACCCATGTAACAAATCTGCACATTTTGCACATGTACTCCAGAACTTAAATTATAAAAAAAAAAAATAGACAGTGTTGTTTTGGCAGCTCATATACAGAAATTGGAATGATAAGGAGATTAGCAAGGTCTCTGCTCAAGAACAACATGCAAATTCATAAAGTGTTCCATATTTTAAACCAAAAAAAATCAACAATAAAACAGCCAATCAGTACTTTTAGAAGTTGATGCTGACTGCAAAAGGGCATCCCTAGAGAATGTGGAGATTGATATAAATGTTCTTAATCTTGATTATGATGCTGTTTACATAATTGCGTCCATGTGTCTAAACTCATAAGACTTCTCATCAAAAAGTAAGATTATTGCCTATAATTTTTTAAAAGCCGTTTAAAATATACTACTGTTTCTATAAGTAAACTATTTCAGTAACTTTCCTCTAAAATGATGCTCAGCATGAACTTCTTCAAATTTCCTTTATGATAGGATATTTTTATCTATACTTTTTTCCCTGTCATTGAAAAACTTAAATCCATATTCTCATTCACATGCTTAATGTACCCAAATTATTTTCATAGGAAAAAAATAGAATTCCGAGGTAATAATTTTTCTTATCATCAGTTAGTATGAAGAGTTTACCACTTGCTGCTTTAAATATCTAGTCACATGAAGATGTCATATGGTTGAAATACAGATTTGTTTCAATAATTAATACATTGATTTTTATCATATTTTAAATTATCCTAATTATTCCATGTTTTTCTACCTTCAGTAAATGTACTACAGTGTCTTTTCTAAGGAGAAGAGGAATTCTTGTATATTTTATTTATACATCCAATTTTTCTTCTATTAAATATGTTCCCATTTTTACATGTATTTCCTTTTAATATTAATCCTTATTAAGCAATCTACCTCTAATTATATTAATGGTTTGCTGCAAAAGGGGTGTGTAGATTGTGGATCATTAAAAAATTGAGCAGTTACTCTGTGCCAGGAAACAGGGATACAGAACAAATGTATTTCTTATTATACCACAATCCTACATAACATTAAAAATAAACAGGGATGAGAATGGAGTATATTATGGAATCATTGGCAAGGCAACTAGAAATGAGGATTAAGGTATCTTGCCTGAAAATGCACATTTTTTCCTTTTTTTAGTTTGTACTCTAAGAAGTTGTATTACATGTATAGATACGTGTAACCACAGTAACCACATACAACTGTTTAATGAACACAAACTCCCTCATGCTACCTTTATGCTTATACTCCATCCAAACCTAACTCTGCCAACCACTTTTCCCCTTTCCATCACATTTTATGAATGTGATAAAATAAAATTGTTTTTATATATTTTATATACATAAGTTATATACATTTTTATTGATAGAGAATATGTAAGGTTTTGGGATTTTTGTCACTCAGCAAATTACTCATAAGGTTTATATGAGTTGATGAATAGATGTTTTATTTTTTTTACCACCATCTATCTAACCAGATGAAAGTTGTTTATATTAGTGATAGTATACATGTTTGATGTACTAGTTTGTTTATCCATCCAGCAGAGAGATATTTGCCCTGTTTTCCCGGCTTTAATGTTATGAATAAAGATGCTGTGAAATCTACAAAAAAATATGGAGTAAAGATAGATATTTTGTTGGTTACCTACAGGGAGCCTGTTAGTCACTGTGAAGCACTATGGCTATTTCATTTATTATTTATCTTTTTCAACATGCATTTAAAAATATCTACTACATACCAGGCACAGTTCCATATCACGAGGGTATGAATTAATAGGGCATAACCTCCTCTCAAGAACCCAAAAACAAAGAATAAAAAGGAACAATTACTTCATTAAATAACTACACATATTATGTGGGAACACATGAAATGGAAAGAAGACCTTGGCTTGAGAATGTAAGAATTATAGGGGTGCAGAAATTAATTTGGGTTCTGAAGGAAGGGTATGCATTTGCTACGATAACATAGCATTGGGAAGGCCATGGCAGCAGATGGAAGAATACAAGGAAAAAATATGGGTGCCAGAGGGATCAGGCAGGGCCAGCTATGGAAAAGTATAAAATGTAACCAGTTTCAAACACTTTACATATTCTAAACTAGAAGAAAATATGATTATATTTGTAATTTAGAAAGCACTAGTAAATTAGCAATAGTTTGAGTGTTGGTTCAGAGGGAGATGAAAATTGTTTTCATTTTTATAATAATATTACGAATTTTCATCCTGGGTTTTTATGGTCCAAAGCATGAAGTGCATCATCATCCATTTAATAAAAAAAGTAATGTAAATTTATTATATTATATAGGAATTTATTTATAAATATATTCAGTTAATAAAAATGGTCTTGATGCTTGCCTGTGGCTCATGTGCTTATTTCATTCTTTCTTACAGAATAAACATGATTCAGATCATGTTTATCTAGGTTTTTTTAAGAAACAATAAAACAAATATTTCCAAATAGTTACCTTTTCTCTGGATAAGTATTCCCTTAAACTTTTGCGGGGTTGCAAAATAAACCAAACCTAACTCTTTCCCCACAAATATTGATAATCTAGTTGAGGGAAGTCCTTAGAATAAGCACAAGAAAAGACAAAGTCATATTTATGTCATAAAATAGAGGATTGAGATATATCATTAATGAGAGATATCATTAAAATTAGAATATGAAGTCATACTTTATTAAAATCACAAAGCTAAGAAATAACTTAAAATATCTCTATTATATTTAAAAGTGCCACTATATTTTTTTAGTTTCTCTGACGAATACAGCCCCCTCATACAACACACACATCACTGTTCATCTTACTGAAATATTTAGCTGACTTTCTAAATAATATTTCTCTACATGTTATGATACCAAAGAGAAGCAATAGAATGGAATGCAACTTTTGGCTATGGACCATTTCTTACAAGTACTGTGTCACAGAATTATGCATGAGGATTAAGAGAATGCCAATAAAAAATAACCATAAATGGAGGAAATATAAAGGTATCTTTTACATTGATAGATAAATTAACTACTTAAATTTTTTAAAAATGATGTTAGCCCTGAATTATGGAAATGCAGAATCTTGTGCAGAGTTTCTTTTATTTTTTATTATTATTTTTTTTTGAGACAGAGTCTCACTGTCACCCAGGCTAGAGTGCAGTGGCACAATCCTGCTCACTGCAACCTCTGCCTTCTGGGTTCAAGCAGTTCTCCTCTCAGCCTTCCCAGTAGCTGAGATTACAGGCATGCACCACCATGCTTAGCTAACTTCTTTATTTTTAGAGACAGGGTTTTGTCATGTTGGCCAGGCTGGTTTCGAACTCTTGGCCTCAAGTGATTCCCCCATCTTCGGCCACCCAGAGTGCTGGAATTATAGGCATGAGCCACCTTGCCTGGTCCTTGTGCACTTTCTGAGAGCATATATTGATTCATGTATGTATCTCTGAACCTGAGGCTAATTTTGTCCCTTATTCACTTATGCATTTGATTCACTTGACAGTCTTATTAATAAAAATAACACTTTAATATTTACTTTTAATATTAATTTTCAATTTAGAAAGAAACTATATGAGTTAAGAAATACAAAAGCACAGTACACATATACTCCATTTATGCACATGGAAACAAAATATTTTAATCAAATATTTTGTGATATTCCTCTTATTTATTGTTCACAATGATATTAATATTTTTTAAATTGCTTTTTCTTAATTTTACTGTATTATTTAAATTATTTATACTGGTTTTCAATGATTAGCCATTTTGAAAATTTTTATATATTTATTTCTTATTTTGGAGCAACATAAATAATTTTCTTTATTAAATAAATCACATTTGGTCCTCAGAAAGCATATAAGATAGATATTATTTTCATTTTATAAAAGAACACAATGAAATTAATAGATTATTGCTAAATTTCCAGTGTGAAATTGAAAATGAATTTGATTCAAGTCTAATGATTTCTAATTTAATGTGGTACTTAACACTTAAGTACCATAAAACTATAGAAATTAAACTCATGAAATGAGCCTGTTTAATTTTTTTTCTTAATAAACCCTTAAAATTACCTGAAAAAAACACTGCTTGATAGTTCAAATGATATTCATTGATAATCGGCCACAAAGACACCCTCTCCATACCCTATTTTCCCCATATATAAATAATGGAAAATACCTCGTCGTTTTAAGTAAGGATTCAATATGTTAATATTTATCAAAATTATTAAACACTGCCTAGCACATAGAACATGCTTTATAAATGTGAGCTCTTATTGTTGTCTTTTATAATGTTGGTATTATTTTAATTAATATATATTTTCAGATGTTAATGTGCATTCTAACAGATAAATTTCAAGCAGTTTCAGTCTCTTTGTCTATTGTCCTTATTTCAAGACCTGAACCCTTCCTTCTTATCCTTGTGCTCTTAGGTTTTCTCCCTCCTCTTTCTAGACATTCTACTTTTTCTCCTTATATTTCTCTTTTTCTAGAACTTCAAGGGGACCTATTTCTGGGAATGGAGTTGGAATTTAGGGCACTGTGTGTTTGAATGCCTTCATTTGATGAGCCCTGCATGGTTGAGTCTTTTATATAATGATCCTCCAGATCATAGTGCAAACCCCACAATCATCAAATGTAACTACGATGCATGAGTAGAAAGATCATGATTAGGTACAACAATCTCACAACATTCCCAGTAGGTTTCCAGATAACTTGCTGGTGTAAACAGTGGTGGATAATAGTTTATCCTGTTTGAACTTTGATTCTATTTTTAATTAAGAAAAAATAGCATTTGAATAAAACATTTCAGTACATACAAGAAAACCAACTTCAGATTCTTAATAATAATTGATACCTTTGTCAGTTAATATTTGAAATCTAGTATCCATTACTCATCATGCAGTATTCTCTAACATAATTTATTTTTATTAGATACAGGTTCATGACTTCATCATTTGTTGCCACATCTTGCTCATCCCATGAAATGTTTGAATCTCAGTGGAATGTTACACTTGATTCAGCAACTTGGAATATCCACGAAGTTAAAAAATGGATTGAGCTCTCAAATTATGTGTGATTCAATACATATTACATAATAACATTTGACATGAAACCCAAGGTTTTTACAATATCTTTATTTCTAAAAACATGAACATTTGGTTTGGAACTGAAAAGT